TTAATTTCTTTATGTTTATGCTTACTGGTTCTACAAGGATTATTCTGTATTCTGAAACACATCTGAGTTATCAGTCTAGTTGATAAAATCTTAATTTCTTTATGTTTATGGTAACTGGTTCTACAAGGATTATTCTGTATTCTGAAACACATCTGAGTTATCAATCTAGTTGATAAAATCCTAATTTCTTTATGTTTATGCTAACTGGTTCTACAAGGATTATTCTGTATTCTGAAACACATCTGAGTTATCAATCTAGTTGATAAAATCTTAATTTCTTTATGTTTATGCTAACTGGTTCTACAAGGATTGTCCTGTATTCTGAAACACATCTGAGTTATCAATCTAGTTGATAAAAATCTTAATTTCTTTATGTTTATGCTAACTGGTTCTACAAGGATTATTCTGTATTCTAAAACACATCTGAGTTATCAATCTAGTTGATAAAATCCTAATTTCTTTATGTTTATGCTAACTGGTTCTACAAGGATTATTCTGTATTCTGAAACACATCTGAGTTATCAATCTATTTGATAAAATCTTACTTTATTCATGTTTATGCTAACTGTTTCTACAAGGATTATCCTGTATTCTGAAACACATCTGAGTTATCAGTCTATTTGATAAAATCTTACTTTATTCATGTTTATGCTAACTGGTTCTACAAGGATTATTCTGTATTCTGAAACACGTCTGAGTTATCAATTTTTTTGATAAAATGTTGCTTTTTTCATGTTTATGCTAACAGGTTCTACAAGGATTATCCTGTATTTTGAAACACACCTGAGTTATCAATCTATTTGATAAAATCTTACTTTATTCATGTTTATGCTAACTGGTTCTACAAGGTTTATCCTGTATTTTGAAACACATCTGAGTTATCAATCTATTTGATAAAATCTTACTTTATTCATGTTTATGCTAACTGGTTCTACAAGGATTATTCTGTATTCTGAAACACATCTGAGTTATCAATCTATTTGATAAAATCTTACTTTATTCATGTTTATGCTAACTGTTCTACAAGGATTATCCTGTATTCTGAAACACACCTGAGTTAGCATAAACATGAATAAAGTAAGATTTTATCAAATAGATTGATAACTTGGTTCTACAAGGATTATCCTGTATTCTTTTATAGATCTACAAAGAAAACTTCATCATAACAGAACGCATCATATAGTATTTTAAACAGAACAAGTACCCTTCTAGTTTCATTACCAACTGTTGAAGAACATAGAAATACAAACACCATTTACCCCATCTAAGTGAGAAGATCAAATGCTAGCCAAAAAGTTCAACATCAACGTCCGCTGTAAATCTTACAAAACAGACAGATTTATTCTCGATAAAACTAAACAAAAACATCTGACGGCAAACACGAAAACGTCATTTATGAAATATCAAGCTCTTATGAAAAGACTTACATCAAAGAAACCGGAAAGCATTTTGGGGAAAGATATAAGAATATGAAGTCTATAAAATATGGATGAAAACATAGAATTCTGCCCTAGCGGCACACGCTATGTTGTTTGGATTTTAAAAAGACTGAGACAGTTACAAATACATCGGTAAATTCTGGAAACTAAGAAAAAAATAAGAAATTTTCTACACCAACACGATGAAGCCGTCGCTAAACAGAGACTCACTCAGGCCTGTAATCAGCAGTTTGTGTCTAGCGTCAGTCAACTCGTCACTCTTTCCACCAACCACAATACAAGGACCACCAGCCAATCATGTCACGTTCACCCGAAACCTCCCGATTAGCACATAAACCCCCTGAAAAACCAATACAAGCTGAATTTAATATCCAAACAACATAAGAGCTGTTTACTTACTGAAGGCCAACAATCAAAGTAATTCATTTAAAGAATATGCACAACAAAATTTCATATCTTATAAAAATTACCTAACGTTAGAAACAAATGCGATTATACAGGCCTGCGATGGTTTTATTGTCTTGAAATTTTTACATATTCTACAATAATTCCTGTACGCTGAATCCAAAAATGATATCAATTTTTCTCCATCACGTACAGATTTTTCACAAAACGTCATATGTACTTTTACATAATTGAACCATTTTCATTGAAATCGGGTCACATTTTGTTATACTTAAAATGTTGACAACCACTGGTTATAGATTTCTCTAGACCAATCGCGACGTGATAGTCTTATAGATCGTTCTAGAACCCAAACATAATAATAAAAATATTCATTGTGGTAAACAAAATAATAATTTGATCTAAGAAAGAGTTTATTTTTTCTTCCCGATTTGTAAAAAATCCTTACGTGATAGAAAAAAATGAATATTATTTTCGAAATCTGCGAAGCTGGATAATGGAAAATCCGTTATTAAAACCAAAACAACTTTTACGAAGTTTACATTCGCTGGCCTGTGTTATGCTTAATCGTAACTCGTGTGTTTGGCCCAGTCTCTCATCTTCAACTAAACGAATCATCAACCAGTTTCACCGACTTCTGTGCCACAAGACATCCTCAACTTCAGCGCTACATCATCTCCACAGGCATCATCCTGTGCTATTCTTCTCATCTTTTCTTTTCTAGCATTGAATTTTATTTGCAGCTTGTGACTGGAACAGCTTGAGGCAACAAATCGCGTGAAAATTATTTAATCTTCATCAAATTACCAGTTTCAAGAACATTAAAATATTTCTTGTTAAGGTCCCTACCAATTGGTCAAGAAGTGGGGTGAAGAGAAGTAGAAGTTTCTGACCGTCCCTGGTTATCTTTAAGACCCATTCGGGGCCTGAGAGATATTTAACCGAAGAAACCACCACGAATTGTATTTGGGGATGCAAGTTGATCTAAAGACAAAAAAAAAAAAAAGAATTTGTTTTTTCTTCACCTGTGTTACTTTTTTGGATCGATCCTCTAGGATTCTACAAGGTTATCCTGTATTCTATGAAAGTACTCGACATTATGAACCAATTCTATAAATAATGCAATTTTTACGGTTATACTGAAATATTTTGCAAGGATTATTCTGTAATCTTTGAAAATTTGTCTTTAAGTAACTCTATGTTTATAAGTGTAAAATATATATTTGTACTTATATCAGGGGTCCGATTCCACTTGGTGGACACAGCAGATATCTCAATGTGGTTTTCCTCTAAAAGAAACAAACTTATGCAGACACCTTTGTAACGTATTTTTCTTTAAAAAAACGCAATTTCGTGGACTTATTTATCGAATAAAAAAATAGGAATTATTCGTGCAGTAAGAAAAAAAAGTAATATTTGAGTACAAGCATTTTAGATGGCGAACAAAAATAAGAATTTTCGAAGGACAAAAAAAAATACAATATGAATTAAAATGTGCTTACTTATTGTATTTACAACTTATACCAGGCGCAGTTCTAGACCTTAAAATTAGAGAGGGGGGGGGGGACCAAAAGAAGGTTTTTGTTGATAAGCTCAAAGCTAGATCTGCACTATGCGTAACGCTGACATCGAAACCCGATTTTTAGCGTTATAAGCCCACAAACTTACCGCTGAGCCAGCGATGAGCAAGTAAAAGTAGCTAAATTTCGAAAAGAAATTAAAATGTAAAATTTTCGATCCACTAAAATAAAAGAGTTTGCATTATTTATGCATTTTTATTTATGGTTCTTATCTGGGCGTTAAGAGTTTTTTTTTAAATTCATGACTATAAAATAAACATTTTTGTCAAATGTTGTCTTGAAAAAGTTTTTCGAAGTGCTTAGTAAATTAGCTATAAGAAAACACTCGTTAAGAATGTTTTAAAACGGCACATTAACAATTTACATTCTGTATCATTAGTTCAAAGCGACGTTGTGGGGCGCTGCTGGTTTTTATCAGAAGTTACTTATTTGTTTATCTTAGATACGTGGAGAGTTCGTGACATACACTGATTTCACACCCACGCACAGGTAAAAACTTTCCTAGATAACAAAAGAACAAAAAATAAAACGTTATCGAAAAACAGAGCAGAAATTAATCTCTTTTAAGTACAACCGACAGTTAATGTAATATGTAGCATCTTTAATATATTCGTTATCTTTACTTTCAACTGTGTGGCCATAATGTAATCAAGGAACACAGAGGAAGAGAGTCCTGTAGGATTGTCGACATTTATCTTTCGTTTCTAATTCAGCAGGATTTTTTTTTTTTAATTTAAAATTGGATTTCACCAGTAAGAACCACTGGCTGTTTGATGCTTTCCACACTATGTTGTCATTTCTCTTTCTCTAAAATCCAGGATTCGATTCCCCATGATGGACAGAGTACAGATATGTTACTGTGTAACTTTACACTAAGAAAACAGTACGACTAGTAACGTTAATAATAAGCCCTTAGAGTAATAAAATAATACAACTGATTTTATGCTATCGTATTTTACAATGAAAAAACGTACATTATCCGAGTCATAATCTAAACAGATACACGAGTATTACCTCGAATTATAATGTTTCTCTATTGTGAAGTGTGAAGATTTTTATTTGTTTTTTCGTCACGTTAAATAATGAAATGTCGTTCTTCCATAAGAGAAAAACTCGTGGTGGGCAGAGCACAGATAGCCCATTGGGTAGCCTTGTGCTTAACTTCAAACAAACAATTATAAGGCAGTTAATAACATAAGTGCTGCATGAAACAAATCTCGTATTCTCTGAAAGGCTAATATTTAATAGCTTGCGAATAATTTAAAACACTGAAGAGTTATTTAATTTATTCAAATAGTATGTTGTTTTTTTTTTATTAAGTGCAGTAAGTCATTACTCCGCTTTTTTTATCCATAGTGTATATGCACCGATTTCTTGAGTGTATATGCGTAGTAATCAAACTATGAAACCAAATAAAGATTAGTATTATCAAAACGATGAACATCAAACACAGTTGAAAAAAAAATACTCCAGTTGTTTAGATTATCCCTTTCGTCAATGTGTACGAGGTCAAATAAAAATAATATAAATAAGGAATTTATTATCTTCACAGTTTACACCATCTGTCAGTAGAAAACACTAAGTTATTACAAACTAGGGTAGAAATGGGGATTCCTAACCAAGGCAACGTTTTAATCAAGTAGTGGGGATTTCTAAATAGAGTGGTGGAAGCATACAGCTGATTGAAGTAATTTCGGTTTAACTGCAAATGACCAAAAAGCAAACTAACGTTAGTTAGAGAGAGTTCATATAGTATACCGCACTACAGGTAGCGCTGCTGTAGAAAGTGTTCTTATTGCTACCATTTATAATTGGTTTAATTTGAATTTCACACAAAGCTACACGAGGGCTATCTGCGCAAGCTGTCTCTAATTTATCAGTGATGGACTAGAGGGAAGGCAACCCACCGCCAACACTTTTACCAACGAATAGTGGGATTGACCGTCAGGTTATAACGCCCCCGAGGGTGAAAGGGCGAGCGCCCTAACCAAAAATAGAATGTTAAGTCATAGAAGGTGTCAAAGAGTGATCATATGAGACCCACGAAGCATAGCCAACAATTGTAATTGTTTGATTATTAGAAGAGTCATTTTTTTTCGTTCTTCCGGGTACAAACTCTAAACCCTTTAAACCCAAATCTGAGAAAATTTGTGTAATTATGCACCTTAATACCTAAGGTGCTGCCTAGTTGAAAACATTTCTGTGGCGATACTGAGTTGTAATCTAAACACTTCAAAAACTTTGTCGAACTGTTCTCAAGATCCTATTCCCATACAGTGGGATCACTGTATTAACCGCTTGTTGTTGTTTTTTACCTCCCCCCCCTAAGTGGGGTAGAAAATTCCAAAATGTGTTTTAAACTTTGTATTGAAGATGAGATTACTTTATCAAAACACTTTTCTTTTTATGAAAAGGTTAACCAAAATTATTTTCTTTTTATGAAAAGGTTAACCAAAATTATTTTCTTTTTATGAAAAGGTTAACCAAAATTAATGTCAAGTGAGTTGAATATAACGTAAGCTTTTACCATTGCTAATATTCACCAAACTAAGAGAGAGAGAAAAAAAAGAGTTAAGGTTTTGTTTGTTAAGCACAAAGCTACACAGTGGTCTATATGTTCTGTGTCCACCACAGGTATCGAAACTCGATTTTTAACGTTATAAGTCTTTAAAAAATATATTGAAACGTTGTTATTCTTAATTATCAGGACTTAAAAAAATTTGAATATTGGATATTGAATCTTAAGAACAGATATCTTTTCAAACTAACGCATAAAATAATAACCAGAAAGTTAGTTTATACGTTATACTTATTTTATTGATTACCAAAAAAAAAAAAAAACCGTCTTGTTTTGAGACCTTAAAATTTATCACGGTGAAAACTTAACCTGTCTGTATGTGAGAAGAAAAACTCTTATCAGTGATTAGAAAAAAATGCAGGATTACTGCGAAGGTCAAATGTTTTCGAAGTTTATTTTTTACAATTTTTACTTGTTTGAAATAAGTGTAGTTCACCTTGTGACAAAAAATATCCGTTTTACACGTGAAGCAGAGTATTTATGACAGTAAAATACAACAACGTCACTTGTACGCGTGAAGCAGAGTATTTTATAACAATAAGTTACAAAAACGTCATTTCTACACGTGAAGCAGAGTATTTATGACAGTAAAATACAACAATGTCACTTTCACACGTGAAGCGGAGTATTTTATAACAATAAGTTATAAAAAACGTCATTTCTACACGTGAAGCAGAGTATTTATGACAGTAAAATACAACAAGGTCACTTTTACGCGTGAAGCAGAGTATTTTATAACAATAAGTTACAAAAACGTCACTTTTACACGTGAAGCGGAGTATTTTATAACAATAAGTTACAAAAACGTCATTTTTACACGTGAAGCAGAATATTTATGACAGTAAAATACAACAACGTCACTTTTACGCGTGAAGCAGAGTATTTTATAACAATAACTTACAAAAATGTCACTTATACATGTGAAGCAGAGTATTTATGACAGTAAAATACAACAACATTACTTTTACACGTGAAGCGGAGTATTTTACAACAATAAGTTACAAAAACGTCACTTTTACACGTGAAGCGGAGTATTTTATTACAATATATTACAAAAACGTCACTTTTACAAGTGAAGCGGAGTATTTTATTACAATATATTACAAAAACGTCACTTTTACACGTGAAGCGGAGTATTTTATAACAGTGAAGTAGAAATACGTTTAGCCTGCATGTCAGATATAGTGCAATTTAGCTTGAAACTCACAGATTCAACAGTAAATTAATACTCATTACCGTGTAAAGTACAGTAAATTAATACACATTGTAGTGTAAAGTAATCTACAATAATGTATAGATCCGGTATTAGAGAAAAATAAGTTTATATGGATACACTTATTTTACAACCGAAGTTCGAGCTAATTTTTGGATTAACAAAATTTCCGCAAATCTTCTTTTGACATATTTTCTAGTTTTATATGTTATTTTGGCTGATTTTCCGTTGACTGTATGATCAAGATTACTTATGTGTAGAAATACAGTATTATTGATTTGACCATTTGTCATCCCTTTTTTATTTTCTGCGAGTCCTTTACTCGAATTCCTTCCCGTTTCACCAGCATTTTTTTGCGAGTCCTTTACTCGAATTCCTTCCCGTTTCACCAGCATTTTTTTGCGAGTCTTTTACCCGAATTCCTTTCCGTTTAACCAGCATTTTTCTGCGAGTCTTTTTCCCGAGTTCCTTCCCGTTTCACCAGCATAAACGTTTTCGCAGGAGTGGAAATTGGGCTATATAGACACCTTTCTCTTAATCTTGAAGCCCCCAGTAACACAGCAGACTTATAACGATACAAACCGGGTTTCGATATCCGTTGTGGGCAGAGCACAGAGAGCGCATTGTGTAGCTTTGTGCTTAATTACAAACAATTTAAGTTAACCCTCTTTCTGACGTATTATAGTCTGAATCAGTTTGTAAATTCCGTTATGAAATAAGCCATGTGTATGTTTCTTTAACAAACAGAAACTGGACTGAAGAAGATACGTGAAAGTGTCGAAACTTGTAATCATATAAACCTGTTTTCCCCTGATAGTGAATCGAAACGTATTTTAATTTATAGTTCCTGATTTTATTCGGGATAAAATCGTTTCTCGAATTTCCGTTTTCACCAAGGATGAATAAGAATGTTCAAGTTGCATTAGAAATTTAAACAAATATAACTTCAATGAAATTTCGCATGTAAACTTCAATGTTCACTTCATAAGCGGTACTTTATATTAAGACATATGTTTAGGGCTATTAGGCCAATTTAAATTAATTCCATGTGGACGTTAAATTATGAAACCTGACAACTTAGCGGACGTTAAATTATGAAACTTAACAACTTAGTGAACGTTAAGTTATGAAACTTGACAACTTAGTGGACGTTAAATTATGAAACTTGACAACTTAGTGGACGTTAAATTATGAAACTTGACAACTTAGTGGGCGTTAAATTATGAAACTTGACAACTTAGTGGACGTTAAATTATGAAACCTGATAACTTAGTGGACGTTAAATTATAAAACTTGACGACTTAGTGGACGTTAACTTATGAAACCTGACAATTTAGTGGACGTTAAATTATGAAACTTGACAACTTAGTGGACGTTAAATTATGAAACCTGACAACTTAGTGGACGTTAAATTATGAGATTAGACAAGTTAGTGGACGTTAAATTATAAAACCTGACAAGTTAGTGTACGTTAAATTATGAAACCTGACAAGTTAGTGTACGTTAAATTATGAAACCTGACAACTTAGTGGACGTTAAATTATGAAACTTGACAACTTAGTGGACTTTAAGTTATGAAACCTGACAATTTAGTGGACGTTAAATTATGAAACTTGACAACTTAGTGGACGGTAAATTATGAAACCTGACAACTTAGTGGACGTTAAATTATAAAACTTGACGACTTAGTGGACGTTAAATTATGAAACCTGACAACTTAGTGGACGTTAAATTATGAAACCTGATAACTTAGTGGACGTTAACTTATGAAACTTGACAACTTTTTTCTTTCTATACTCTAAATTCATGAGTAACTATTATTCGGGCTGTTATAAAACACATGGTATATATATATAGAGAGAGAGAGTCAAAAAGTGTATTAACTTTTTTCTTCAACTTTATGGGCAGTAGTTTTACTGTTTTCAAAGAAGAGTTAGCACACTTCATAAAATATTGTCTTCGGATTTAACGCGATCGGAAACGTGTCGCTTCAGCCCTACTAATTTGTAGACATCTGTTTAAAAAAATTAATTCAAAATAAACAAAAAAGGTTTGGTTTGTTTATAGATATTCTTCCTACTCATGACGGTAATACCCACGCTTCTTTTCTCACTTTTTTCCCCACGAAAATTTCTACATTCACGCACATTGGAAGTAATAATGTGCGTAATAATAATATCTTGCGTATCTGTTTAATGATGATAACAATGTGATAAATACCTGTTATCAGAAAACGTGAACAAGATTTTTTATTGCGTTTATCTTTGCGTGGGTTTATAAACAAAAGAAAAACGAGCACATTTGATGCATACAACTTTTGATAGATTAACTAGGAATACCAGCACCGTTTTTATTAAACACGATCTGGATTTGTAGTGTATCAATTTAAGCAGTTATGAGTAGGTGGAAAATCCGTTTTAACCACAAATGAGTTTCATTGATGACGTCAAGCTGTCTTCTACGTTAAGTCCGAACCTCGGATGTATAAAACTACGTATCTTTAGAATTATACTTTTTATCGAATCTTCCGAGTTGCTGCTGTCCATTTATATTAAGAAGATGAAAAGACAACGTTACTCCTACGGTTTTATTTTCATTTGTTGTGTCTTTTACCAAGCAATTTTTATGGCAAGTTGTGGTAAAGACAACAAGTACTTTACAAGGTAGGCTTTGAAATTATTATGTTAAAAATGCTCTAACCAGAAAATTGTACATAAATCACACTTTATATAAGTTTCTTTTTAAAATGGTGATGGTTGAGGCTAGTTTTTTTTCTACAGTTTTACACAGTATCTGACATGTTTGTTGTTCATGGTTTTTACACAGTATATGACAGATTTGTTGTTCATGGTTTTTACACAGTATATGACAGATTTGTTGTTCATGGTTTTTACACAGTATTTAACAGGTTTGATGTTCATGGTTTTTACACAGTATCTGACAGGTTTGCTGTTCATGGTTTTTACACAGTATATGACAGATTTGTGTTCATGGTTTTACACAGTATCTTACAGGTTTGCTGTTCTATGGTTTTTACACAGTATTTAACAGGTTTGCTGTTCATGGTTTTTACACAGTACATGATAGGTTTGTTGATCATTGGTTCTTACACAGTATCTGACAGGTTTGCTGTTCATGGTTTTTACACAGTATATGACAGATTTGTTGTTCATGGTTTTTACACAGTATCTTACAGGTTTGCTGTTCATGGTTTTTACACAGTATTTAACAGGTTTGCTGTTCATGGTTTTTACACAGTATT